GTGCCAGTGCCTCAGCACCCTCACAGGGACGAGTTCCTGCGCAACATTCCGTCTATCCCTGCCCTTTCCATTTCCCCTTGTCCTGTCACTCTGTCCCTTGTCCCAAGTTTCTTCAGCTCTCTTGGAGTCCTTTTAGGCACTGAAAGGGGCTCTGAGTTTCCCTGGAGCTTCTCTTCCCCAGGCTGAACCCCGCAGCTATCCCAGCCTTTCCTCGTAGCAGAGTGACTCTTCCCTCTAGTCATTTTAGTGTCTCCTCTGGGTTTAAGACTTTTGTGTGTGTTTTTATTCCTTGAGCAAGTAGGAGCTGGAGAGGGAACAATATGGGACATTGTGTTTCATGTCAGGTTTTCCTGGGATCAGTTCTGCTCTAGAGATTATCCCAAGAGGTTTCTATTTTCAGGCCAGCACCAAAAAAAAAAATAAAATACAAGGGGAAATATAAGAGTGAGGAGTTTCAGCCTGGTCAGTATCCCAGGATAGTTTAGGGACTGGAGCCTGTGCAGAGGAATTGAGACAGGGAATCACCTCAGAGAAGGCAACACTTGTGCTTAGTGACAGTATCAGTGTTGTGGAGTTGCCTTTAAATATGAGTATTAGCTGCAGGATTGATGCTGAGTCACCTCAGGAAGGAGCTGTGTTGGCCTTGCTGCCTTGCAGGAGGGTTGAATTTCCTTAAAATCCTTAAAGTTCTTTTTTCCTTAAAAAACTTCTTCCTAAGGTGTGAGGGAATCTTTGCGTGGTAAGAACTGATTTCCAACATGTCCTTGGAGTGAAAAATAAAGATTAACAAAGAAAAAAGATAAGATATTAAGTCATTTGAGTGTTTATTTGTCTTTACACCTGAGCTCTCTGCGAACTGTGCTGTAAACAACATCTCCAGAGTCATGTGCCAAGTGCCCAGCACAGCCAGGAACCACATCCAGAGCTCCCAACTGCTGCTCCTGGCACTCACCACAGCATTCCATGCTCAGGAACCCAAGCCCCACAGCACACACAGAGGCTGAGCAGTCACAGCACTGCTCCAGTCCTTGTTTCTCTCCTCCCTCAGAGCCTCCTGCCACAAACACTTTCCCCTCCCTACCGAAGCCTTGGTGGAGTTCTGCTGAAACAACAGCTCATCCGGGATCCAGTCAGACTTTGGAATGTCCTAGGTGAGTCCTGAGGAGGAAGGAGGAGGGTCTAATTTCATAAGAGAATTGACCTTTCCTCACCTTCCCTCTGCAGCAGAGCTGTGCTGCTCCTGGCTGTGGGAGCTCTGTGTGTTTGCAGGGATCCGTAAGGGGTTGTGTTTGGAGACAGGGATGGATAGTGGCACCTTCCCACAGGGAGCACTGGGATTGTTAGACCTACAGTTAACTTTAAGGCTGCAGGTTTTCAAGAGGAGAATCTTTTTCTGCCTCATCAACAAATCAGAAATCACGTTGTTAGCCTTTGAATTGTGGGATCATGGGATGGTTTGGGTTGGAAGGGCCTTAAAGCTCATCTCATTCCACCCCCTGTCACGGGCAGGGACACCTCCCACGAGCACAGGTTGCTCCAAGCCCCATCCAACCTGGCCTGGAACACTTCCAGGGATGGAGCAGCCACAGCTTCTCTGGGCAACCTGTGCCAGTGCCTCAGCACTCTAACAGGGAGGAATTCCTTCCCAATATCCAATCTAAGCCTGCTCTCTGTCAGTTTGTATCCATTCCCCCTTGGCCTGTCCCTCCAGGCCCTTGCAAAGAGCCTCTCTTCAGTCTTTCTAAATTACCTCTCACAATCTCCTTGACTGGAACAAGTTAAAGGTGTGTGTTAAAAATGTGGTTTGAATTCCTGGAGTGCAGGCACAGACAAAGAAAAGCAAGGCCCTTGTTCTCCTTCCCTTCATCAGGTTGGGAAGAGGATTTGGTGATGCCTCTGAGACTGGTATGAAACTGGTCACAGCTGTGGTGGCCAGTGGGGAGCTTGGGCTGCTGTACCTTGGGCAGGGTTTGGGGTTTGAGTGCAAATACAAACACCTGCAGTGAGCCCTCTAGTAGAAGGAGCTATGGACAAGCAGTTCGGCTCCTGGGAATGTTCCTGGAGCCTTCCTGGAAGAAGGAAGGGAAATGCGTGAAACAAGGAAGTGAAAGCTGCTGTCATCAAGTCACTTGTCCTCCTTCCCAACTTACTACATGCGGAAAAAGCCTCTGTTTATTGTTTTGGAGCAGCAACTCTGAGTCTTAGTGTTTGTAGCCTTTTTTGGCCTTTATTAGAGTATCCCAGAGATTTCCTGATAACCTGAGGTAACTACAGTCCCTGCATTTCCTTTCATGAGAATTTCTGGACACTGGTGTGAGGCTGTTCCTACCTGCCCACACCAGTGTTAGGTGTGGCTGTGCCTTGGGAGTTGTGTCCGTGTTTCAGCACTACAGAAATGTCTCCTTTGGTCCATTAAAACCATTTCTGCCCAAAGCCACATTTTGTTTGGATTGTCAGAGACACAGAAGGGAGCTGGAGGAGTTTGACCTTCCCATTGCTCCCTGGGGTGAGGCTCTCCTGGTTCCTCAGCACACAGAGCTGCCTGGGTGGATGTGGAGCTTGGCTTCCTCTGCCTTTGGAGCTCCTATGGATTTCTGCCACCTCTCACTGCCCTCAGCAGTAACTACTGAGCTCTGCTTGTCTGCAGGTAGCACCTACTGGTTCAGCACATCCAGCTCTGTGGGGAGAAGCCAGAAGAATGAAGGATTCAAGAAGAAATCTGAGGAGGAGGATGGTATGTGTGTGTGCCAGAGATTTACTGCCACAGACTGTGTGTGTGAGGGCCAGAGGGGAAGATCCACTCAGTGTTTCTGTCGTGGGTACTGTCACCTGTGCCTAAGAGCAGGTTTGAAGGAGTATTTTGGCTTAGGTGATGGACCGTAAGATTGGAGACGTCATAGAAAGCAGAGAATGGTTTGGGTGGGAAGGAGCTTAAAGCTCATCCAGTTCCACCCCCCTGACATGGGCAGAGGACACCTCCCACTAATCCCATTCAACCTGGTCTGAAACACTTCCAGGGATGGGGCAGCCACAGCTTCTCTGGGCAACCTGTGCCGGTGCCTCAGCACCCTGACAGGGAGGAATTCCTTCCCGATATCCCATCTAACCCTACTCTAGTTCAGCATGAAGTCGTTCCCTGTGTCCTGGCACTCGAGCTGTTTTATGTGGGTTTGTGGGTACCTGCTGTGCTCCTGAGTTTCAGGACCTTTGAGGGAGGGACAGAGCTGTGAATCAAAAGTGGTTTGGGTTGGAAGAGACCATAAAATCACCCAGTTCCCTTCCCTTGCCATAGCTCCAGACCTTTGTACTGCCAGTTGGAAGGTTTAAGTGCTTAAGTCACACAGATTGTAATATGAGTTTATAATTTATGTTGTAAACCTTTCCCTGAGTATCATCAAATGGTGTGATCACTTGGCTTTGCCTTTGTTGTGCTTTGTAATCAAATCCTCTGGGACTAACCAACTTTGGAAGTAAAGAGGTCAACGGCTGCTGCCTCTCAGTGTCACTGCAGTGTCCCTAAGGCCAGAGCAGTGTCTTTCCCTGTGGGATCATTTAACTGGGATGAAGTCTGCAGTGGGGTGTGAGCACAGGGATCACAGAATCCTTGGGAAGGGAGTCAGAGCTCAGAGCCCTTGGTGTTTGCCAGGCCACAGCCTGACTGAGCACAGCACCTGGGAGTGTTGTGGCTGTTCAGATTTAGTAAACATGTTCAGTGGCCTCTTCCCTGCTGTGATGTGTGGACAGCCTGGCTGTGGGAAGGGGAATGCTGCCCTGTGTCTCCAGGGGAACACTTGTCTCCACAGTCATTATTAAACGCAACTCTTCACGCTGTCACCGCAGCCCTGGCAAAGGTTTCAATCAGAGAGTTCAGAGTTGGGGTTAATGGCAAATCAGTGCTTGGTGTGGAGGCTTTGGGAGGCTCAGAAGCTGGAAGTATTCCCACAGCTGTTGTTTGCAAGTGTCACATCCACTGGGACTCATTTCCTGAAGGCTGTGGGGTGGCTCCTGCTGCAGTGTGGATGTGGTGCTGGAGGGATGGTCATGTTTGCATCAGCTCAGACATGCATTGATTTTGTCCTTCATTGAATGCAGAGTAGAGGAGAGCTTTGTGCTGCCTTCCAGCTTTCTAGAAAAAGAGGTTTCCTACTGGAATTACTCACCTGCACTTTAAATGTCCTAGACAAGTTTAATTCCTAGAAACAGGAGAAGTCATGTTGGGATATCTGTAGGCAGCTTTTCCCTGGGGTGATGCTTTGTGATCACATCCCCAGTTGTGTGTGTTTAGAGCAGGTTTTGGGCCTCCACGCTTGCTCTGAGGTGTAATACAGAACACTGCTTTAGCAGGAGTTGCCTGACACCTCCAAGGATCTTTCACAGCCATGGATGGACTTTCCTATCAGGACTCGCTTCCTAGAGTAGTTTCTTTTCTCTGTAGAATCTTTTTATTCAGAACTCAGTTTTTCAGGATATTGCCCAGACTATGTCCTCTATCACTATATTCTTAGATTTTCTTTACTAAGCCTGCAGTGGGTGTCATCCTACAGCTTTGGGATGAACGCCCTAGTCCCTACCAGGCTGGATGCAGCAGCTAACACCCAAATGAGGGAACAGCAGCAGAGAACAAAGCAGATGGGCTGGATGTGGTGCCTGAGCTTGTCACAGACTTCTGAAGTGATGACTTACCTGCAGAGCTGCATTGTTTGTATTTAGGAACAAGCCTTTCCTGTCCCAGGTGGGGAATGCAGGGAAAACTGCTGCTCGGAAGGACAAGGACTGCTCTCAGCAGCTCTCTGGGCCATGTATGTCCCTCGGTGTGGTTGCAGCCTGTGCAGGGGCTAATTGGTGGCAGATGATAAATGCTGCTGTCAGGGCAGTGGTTAGGAATTTGTAGATCAGTCCAGTCTGGGCTGCAGTGCTGGTGCATTAGCAGCACAGTGGCACAGAAGTAATCTGTCTCTGAGTGTGGAAGGGTGTTTGTATTGTATGTTGCTGTTAAATTGGATATCAGGAGCAAGTGCTGAATTATACATGGAGAACATCCACATGTGACTGGAAAGAGAAGGAGGTGTTTTTTGTCTGAACAGCTCAGGCACAGCCCAGCAGCTGACATTGAACTGGGCCATGACAGTCCTGAGCAGCCCTCAGAACTGTAAATTTGCCTGTGCAGTGCAAAAACAATATTGGGAGACTGGAAAAAAGGTTTGGTGCCAAATAGTAGAAGTAAAACATCCCTTTACCTTGGGTCATTGCTCCAGTGTGGCACTACTACAGCACAGGAAGCATCCAGCTGTGTGTGCACTGTAACTTCTGGAAGCGAGAGGCTTTGGCTTGCTGATGCTTCAGTTCCTCTTACTGAAGCAACAGTGAAAGTGAGGGAGGTGATCCTTCACCCCTTCTCTGTGCACAGTGCCTCCCTGTGTGGCTTGGGTGCTGGGAGACACCTGGGTACAGCCACAGGGGTGTGACACAGGGCTTTTGCAAGCAGGTTTTTGCTGGCTAGCAGGAAAACTTGCCTCCTTCCAGGCAGTGGCTAAATTAACATCTGAGTGCTTGTGCTGTCATAGCCAGAGTTTGACCTGGTGCTGTTTGATGTGTGCAGCTGAGGCCCTGTGGTCTGACAGCCCTGGAGCCAGCAAGGCCTGGGAATGTACAGTCCAAAATGTGACTCACTGAGTAACCTTGGGCAAGTCACATGTCCTTCTGTGTGAGCCCTGGCAGAGATCCTCCTGTGCAGGGTAGGCAGGGACTGCCTGAGCCCAGGCCTTCAGGAGAAACTAAACATGCAACAACCCCAAAAGTACTTTTGTCTTAGTATTGTCATTGAATTGAGCCTTCTTTGGGTCAGAGGCTCCACAATATAGGGTCTGCCTCAGCCTAGTCCTTCACGAGAAACCAAACATGCGACAAAACCTCTGAGAGGTACCATTATGTTAATTCTTGTCATTGAATTGTCCCTCTTCGGGTCAGAAGCTCCAGAATTATGAAGTTGCCTCAGCCCAGTCCTTCAGGAGAAACCAAACATGTAACACAAAACCCCCCAAAATACTGCTATGTTAATATTTGTCATTTAATTGTCCCTCCTTTGGGTCAAAAGCTCCATGGTCCCATGCTAATCTCTTTCTCTGATCTCTTTGTTCCCCAGAGGAAGAGAAGCGCAGGAAAAGAGAGAATCAGATGCACCTGGAGCGCCTGAGGGCACTGCTCATCCTCACCTTGATTGTGCTGCTGCTTCGCTTCATGGTCAGCGAGAACAGGGAAGGGACCAACATCTCCTGGAACTACTTTGTGAACGAGATGTTGGCTAAGGGGGAGGTGCAAAGGATCGAGGTGGTGCCTGAGAGTGATATCGTGGAGATCTACCTGCACCCGGGAGGGACTCCCCATGGCCAAGTGGTGAGTGACTGTGCAGTTGAGGTGGGACGTGTTGGATTCTTCTGTTGGAACGATTGAATTAATGGATATATATGTTCAGTCAAATTCCTAACTGGTAAATTTGCTCTTCATTAGTTCCCTTTGTTGGATTTGAAGATCAGGGGATTTCTGTTACTCATAGCAGCCTGGAAACGAAGGCTTAGTTTAAATTGTAAGAATAATTAGTAGTGACCTGGAAGAAAGTAATGTATATCTAAAATGTTGGGAAAATTCAAGATTTTTCTACCAGCTTAATCTGATATGGGAGAAGTTGTCCAGGAGGTTGTAAACTCTTATTACTGGAGTTTGTTTCCAGAGTTTTCTCCTATTTGTATTATAGTTTTGAGTGTTCTGATAACTCCATCAGCTTTCCTTCCAAACCTTCCAAAATGGAAGCAAAGCTAGGTTTGATCACATATTTACATCCAGGAGTGGCAAGGATCATTAGAGTGTCTTGAGAGTTTCAAATACTGAAATGGAATCCCAGAATGGTTTAGGTTGGAAGGACCTTAAAGGTCATTCAGTTCCACCCCCTGCCATGTACAGGGAACTGTTCTTGGATACATCCCATTTTTGGTGACTTATAATCCATTTGCAAACTGGTGGATGAAATTAATTTCTGACAGGTACAGAGATAAGGTCCAGGAAGCCCAAGTGGAAGAGAAGGCACTTCCTTTCCAGGGATGTAGCTTTCCATATGGAGTACAGGATACTATCTGAGCCCAAGGTGTTGGTGCCATTGGGTTTTACTTACTGCCCAGAGCAGCTGTGGCTGCCCCATCCCTGGAAGTGTTCCAGGCCAGGTTGGATGGGGCTTGGAGCAACCTGGGCTGGTGGCAGGTGTCCCTGCCCATGGCAGGGCGTGGGATGAGATGAGCTTTAAGGTCCTTTCGGCCCAAACCATCCTGTGATTCCATGATTCTCCTAACTCCTTCCAGCCCAAAGCATCCTGTGATTCCATGATTCTCCTAACTCCATCCCTCAGCCTCTCTGCCAAGTTGTTGCCTTTCCTTGATTCTAGAGAGCTGAGACTTAGTTCTTGACTTTTATGCTTTCATAAGGTGCTGGGAGGGGCAGTGTTCCTAAATTTATTCAGGGCCCTGGTGTCCGTCCTCCACTCATTAATTCATTGCTGCAGGATCAGAGGGTGTACCGAGGCTAATGTTTCCCTGCCCTGTCCATGCTGTGCACCTCTGCTTGCATAGTTCTATACAATAAGTAATACTGACCTGCTGCTTTGGCCTTCCCGTGCCCAGAATGTGACCCTCCTGTACACCATGCGCGTGGCAAACATCGACAAATTCGAGGAGAAGCTGAGAGCTGTGGAGGATGAGCTGAATATCGATGAGAGAGAGAGGATCCCCATCACCTACAAACACCCTGGCTTTTATGGAAAGTATGATGTAAATTTGTCCTTACTCTTCATCTTGTGCTGGTGACAACTTCCCTTGCTTGGGGAGGAAAGGCACTTCCAGCTAGATCTTGTTATATAAACATAGAGCACAAAAGTGGGCTCAGATTTGGGGCATTTGATGAATATTTCTGAACGATGAAGTACTCTAGATGCACCTTAACGTGTGAAAAGTAAAGTCCCAAAAAGGTGACTGGGATTGCAGCATGCAACAGGCCAAAATGTTTCAGATCAGTGTCATCAAATCTTGAGTTCTTGCCCAGCTGAGCAATTTTTGTCCTTATAATCAATTATTCAAGTGCAGAGCATGATAGAAATCCTGACAGTGAGTGATGTTCCAGCCTGGTTGTGGAAAAGGCTGGGGTTGCATTGAGCCTTCCCTGTTCAAATGCCTTGAGGGAGGCCTGTGGTGGCTCAGGCTGCGAAAACAAACCCCCAGTTTTGGGCTCTTTTCCCCCCAGCTGTTGGTCTGAGCTCAGCCCACGCTGCTGCCTGCTCTGGCCACAAGCCACATGCTGAGCAGAGCAGCTTTGGTGCCAGCACACCACATCCCATGAGAGGAGTCCTTGTGCTAAACCTACAGCCCTTCCTGCTACCTGAAACTGAGAGCCTTTGCTTTAAACAAGTGCTCAAGGCTTTTCATTCTGAAATCAGAAGAGAAGAGGGAAGATCTGTTCCCAAGTGCGCAGGGTAGAGCCGGTCTCGTATCTGAGGTGGCCCGGGCGCCTCTTGTGCACAGGCAGAGCATGTCACCTGCTGTTAGCATCTCCCAGGGTCTGGAGCAGTGTGACTTTCATGCTGGAGATAACCAGTATGTGCAATTCCTCCTCCTACACACCTTGCAAGAATGGAACGATGTCATGTCTGTGTGTGAATGGACACCTGGGCTGCGTTTTGTCTAGTTACTTGTCTTCTGACCAACATTTGTAATACATGGTGTGTGTGAAGATAAAGTTTTTAATTGGTCATGCAGTATGATACTTAAGAAGTTGCCAATTTTCTTAGAGTTGCATGTAAGAGGAAGGGAGGACTGAACAGATATTCAGCTACCAACACAAGCTGCTTCCCCTGCCCCGCACAGGAGATTGTTAATTTTTTTAACAAGAGCTGTGATGGAGTGTGAAGTCTCCCAGGAGCCTTGATGAATGTCTGGAGAATTGAGTCTGACCCTGTGAGGTGCAGAGCCCTTGCAGCCTGCATTGGGTTCACTCTGAGTGTGGGTGCTCAGTGTGTTTCAGAATGAATCCTGTGTGCAGAGCAGACAAACCAAAGGTGACTTTCAGGTTTCAGTGTTGCCTGTGGATCTCTCACTAAGCAGAAACAAGTGCAGATGGGTATAGAGCTCCTGCTGGTCCCTTGTTTCAGTAAATCATCCCTCTGTCAGAGGTCTAACATGCACTCCTGTTTCAAAGGTAAGGCACGCGAGTGTGTTGAGGCTGGATGGATTCACAGGCAGAACAGAGCCCGCAAATCTCAACCTGTCACCTGACATAGGATCATTCTTCCTGCTCCTGGAAGCATCCTTTGTTTAAAGCTCACAGGGCATTTGTCCTCAGCATGTTTGTCCTGTATCTGTGTTAGGCCTGCAGTGTCATCTCAGCTCCTCATCTCCCTCCTAATGCAATGGGTATTCCAAAGCATCAAGAAAATGGATGGTTTCGGTTGCTGGAGAACTCCCTTCTGACATAAAGGACTCCTGAGAGATTTGACCAGGGAGGACCAAGCAGGCTCTTAATAGGAGACCCACACTGAGATTTCTGCCAGGGTTAGGGGAGCTGGAATCTCCCCAGTGGTGCAGGCACAGGTCTTCTGCACTGAGCTCCCTTTGGAGCCCTACTGGATTCTGTTCGGGGTGTGATCTGCCTGCCTGAAGGTGCTGCTTGTTTTGGAGTAGAAATGCCTCTGAAGGGGATGGGGAGGTCGAATTTCTTTCCCAGCTGTAAGCTCAGTTTGCCAGTGTCCTCTGCTTCACTTCTCAGGTCATGTAATCCTTAGGTTTGGGGTTTATATATCTATGTAAAATCCTGTAAAGCTCCATTTTCTCAGTCGTTGCTGCACTCATAGCCTGATTGTCCTTTAAATACTGCAGGTAGCCATGTTGGATGATACTGACCAAGCTGTGGCCTCACACTTTGCACCTGTCTCTGTCCTTTCAGTGATGTCCTTTCCCTGATAGTGACCCTGGTGGCTGTGTCCATGCTGTGGAGCATCTTCCGCCTGTTCAGGGTGGCCAGTCGGGCTGGAGGCTTCAACGCCTTCGTGAGTATCCTGGGGTTCGAGGGTGTTTTGCAGCCTCTGGGAATCTTGGCTTCTGCTAGGCTCTCTCCTCCCCTTTTCCCAGCAAATCAGTGCAGGATGAGGATGGAACTGGTGCCAAGGACTCTCCAGTCTTGCCACATCTTGCATCCTGCTCTGATCATCTGCCTGGCTGGTACCTTAGCTGGCCTTAGCTGAGGTCTTTTCCCTTCCTAGCAGCAGGAAGGGCTGAGCTCAGGGAATTTCAGTCCAGTTTGCTGTTTTCAAAGCTTGCTAATGAGCTGCAGCTGCAGATGGTGTTTTTCACTGGGCCCTGCCAACATGCCTCCCATACAGCCAGAAGTAGGAATTGCTGCTTTCTGCAAAATGAGTTCTCAATTTATAAAATATGTTCAGATTCTGGAGCTCATTATGTATTGGCCTGTTCACTCCTGCCTCATGCCTCGCTTGCAACATCAGGCAGACCACCTCCTCCCCTCTCCCACCCTGGCCTGCATCAGCTGATGGAACTGCAGGAGCCAGCCTGAGGTACTCTGGCACTGACCGCGGGGATTTGGGATGAAAACACGGAGAATTCAGCTCCTTGTTGGATTTCCCACTCAGCCTCCTCTGCAGTTCTCTTGGGTTGTGAGATCCCTTTGAACAAAAGGATGCAGCTGCTCACAGAGAAGAATATTTGAAAGAAATGTTGAGTAATGAGGCCTTGAGGACTAGATTGTGTCCTTGCCTTGGTGAGGACAGCCAGGCCCTGAGTTTAACTCCTCTTTTGGCTGTTTCTGAGGCCTCAGAAACCATCCACTTCCTCCTGAAAGCAAAACCTCCTGAGTAGCTGTTCTGGGTAGAACACACTGAGCAGTTCTGAGTGGGGAGTTTAACTGAATTCTTAGTTTGACTCTCACTGTGGCCTCAGAGGCACCAGGAGATGGAGATGTGGTGGCTGATCGCTTTGAGAAATGCAGTTCTGGCATGGGCTGAGTTCCAGTAGAGACCAGCAGCAGCATCAGACAGTGGTGGAAAGTGTCTGTTTCTGTGCTTTCACATGTGTTGGTAATTACTTGCCCTCAACACGTAGTCCTCAAAGCTGTACCTGTCCCATGTGTGTTAGGGATCAGAGTGTTTAGAAATTGGGGAGATGATCCCAAGTAAGTTTTTGGACCTTGCATGTTTTTGATGAGCCTGGTCTACATGGAGTTTGAGCTGGATTGTGTTGGGGCTATTACTGCAAGTTTGTTCTGTCTCTTCCCTACATGCAGCTAAATAAAGCTTGAGTCAACAATCCAGCTGGGAAGTGTCTCCAGAGCAAAAATCAGTGAACCATCAGTGCTTTGGTAGGGGCAGCTCATACCTGGGCTGTGCTGTCTCCCAAAATAGGGCAAACAGCCTGTCCAGACCATTGCCTTGTCCAGAGTTGTTCAGTCCTTGTGTTCCCTTCCACAGAACCAGCTGAAGATGGCTCGTTTCACCGTGGTGGATGGGAAATCGGGGAAAGGCATTGGCTTCAAGGATGTGGCAGGGAAGCCTAAAAAAAAACAAGGAATTTGTGGACTATTTAAAGGTATATAAAACCAGAACAAAACGAGTACTTACTACCTGTCTTCTGGGACAGATGGCTGAGCTGGGGAGGAAGGGGGTTCTTCTCTTCATCCTTCATGGTTGTGAAGGATGGAGCAATGAAATTAGCTCTGTAATTCCACTTCCATAACAGGAATGCAGATGGAGCTGCTCCCATTGGCAGCTCAGAGTTGCCCAGGCTGGAAGCAGTCCTGGGAAGCTCTGGGAGGCCACTCTGGCACAGGGCTGTGAGCTGTGGGTGTGACAGAGCTGTGTTGTCCTTGCAGAATCCGGACCGCTACCTCCAGCTTGGGGCCAAGGTGCCCAAGGGGGCCCTGTTACTGGGCCCTCCAGGCTGTGGGAAGACTCTGCTGGCCAAGGCTGTGGCTACAGAAGCACAGGTGCCATTTTTGGCCATGGCAGGCTCTGAGTTTGTGGAGGTGATTGGAGGTGAGCTACTGGAGCAGGGGTGGAGATCTGTTCTGGAGCTGGAGGGTACTGGCTGGGCCTCTTGCGGAGGACAGAGCTTGGCATGGGGAAGGTGAGCTGGATACTTCAGCTGAAGAGAAGCCCGGAGAAGAGCAGGCTCAGGGGTGACCTTATTGCTGTCTACAACTCTGTGACAGGAGGTTGTAGCCAGGTGGGGGTCAGGTTCTTCTCCCGGGAAACAAGTGACAGGATGAGAGGACAGTCTCAAGCTGTGCCACGGGAAGTTCAGATTGGACCTTGGGAAGAATTTCTTTATATAAAGGGAGATTAGACATTGGGATTTGCTGTCTAGGGAGGTGGTGGAGTCACCATCCCTAGAGGTGTCCACGGAACGACTGGACATGGCAATGCATGCTCTAGTCTAGTTGACAAGGTGGAGATAGGTCACAGGTTGGGCTTGATGATCTTGGAGGTCTTTTCCAACCTTAATGATTGTGTGAAGATATACAAGGTTTTCGGTGATAGACAGTCCTTAATTATGCAATATCTATAGTTTCTGCCCTCTGGATTGCTGGTTGCTTCTTCCTGACACCATGCAGCCATGTCCTTCACCTGCAATCACTCTCCCTGACTTTCCTGCACCTATTACCAAAGTCATTGTCTGAGACTTCCTTCCTTGTCTGGAAATGCTGATGGATTTTCTGCTTGTGGGGAAAGTAGGGCCTCTCTGTGCCTTGGGATTTCCATCTTTCTCCTTCTGCTCCTTGCTCTCAGGTCTCTTGAGACCCAGCAAGGGTCAGTGTGCAGGAAAAAGCTGACTATTTCTGCTCTGACCTGTGGGAGGAACAGGAGGTCAGGTTGGGAGCTGGGAGCAGAGCTCCTCTTGCAGCTGCTGTAGGAGTCCCTGCAGTTCTAGGAGCCCACTTATACCCAGCACACTCCAGGAGAGACTGACCTAAGGAATTAAACACAAGTTCTGGGGCAGTTTCAGGGGAAGTTTATGTTGGATTTTCGTAGTATCATAGTATGTTAAGGGGTTGGAATGGAGCTTAGAGACCACCCAGCCCCAACCCCCTGTCCTGGGCAGGGACACCTCCCACCACACCAGACTGCTCAAGGCTTCATCCAGGCTGGCTGTGAACACTGCCAGGGTTGGGGCATCTACTACCTCCCTGCATGGACAGATCTCCAGAGAGTTCCTCACGCATGGGAAAAAATTATTCATGATATCTGATCTAGATTTCTCCTTTCAATTTATCCCCATTACTCCTTGTCCTGTTACTGCAGTTCCTAACAAAAGAAAAACAATGTTAGGAAGAACTTCTAGGTTCTAAAGGAAGAAGCTTTGGGAACTACTAGGAAGGACCCATGGGAGGGCTGGAGCTGTGTTAGGGGAGGTTTAGGTTGGATATGAGGAAAAAGTTCTTCCCCCAGAGGGTGTTTGGGCAGTGGTCACAGCCCCAAGGCTACCAGAGCTCAAGGAGTGTTTGGCCAACGCTCTCAGGCGCAGGGTGGATTGTTGGGGTGTCCTGTGCAAGGCAAGAGTTGGACCTGATCCTTGTGGGTCCTTCCAGCTCAGGATATTGTGTGATGCTATGATTCCTGAAGCAGGCAGGGTTGAGAGAGGGACTGTCATACCCTGTCAGGTGTCTCACTGAGGAGCAGTATTGCTGCTGTCCAGCTTGGCTGACTGTTGTAGGTCCCGAGCTGATCTGCCCTCCTGTGCCCTGCAGGCCTGGGTGCGGCGCGCGTGCGCAGCCTGTTCCGCGAGGCGCAGGCACGTGCTCCCTGCATCGTCTACATCGACGAGATCGACGCCGTGGGCAAGAGACGCTCCACCAGCGTGTCCGGCTTCGCCAATGCTGAGGAGGAGCAGACCCTCAACCAGCTGCTGGTGGAAATGGATGGTCAGTATGTCTCTCTGCACTTGTCTCCTCAGAGATCTGAGCTGTTGGGCTGGACATCTTTGTCCTGCTTGGACTTGTGTTCTTTTGCTGCAGTCTGAACCAGTCTGAGCTTGTGTATCCTGTCATTAGTCCCTGGTTCTGAAGGCACTGGAGCATATCCTTCTCCATCTGTCCTGTGGGACTGCTCCAGTGCTGTTGGAAGTGACTGGACTCAGGACAGATCATGGAATGGTTTGGGTGGGAAAGGACCCTAAAAACTCACCTCATTCCACCGCTGCCATGAGCAGGGACACCTTTCACTAGCCCAGGCTGCTCCAAACCCTGTTCAGCCTGGCCTGGAAAAATTCCAGGGATGAGCATTCACAATCTCAGCCTCTCTGGGCAATAGATACGTGCTGTGACCAAGTTGTGGAGAAAACCCTTTTGACATCTAGGCGTTTACACAGGTTTTTAAGTGTTTGGGGCTAAGTCTAGTAATTTTTAAACTCCTGGAGTTTAGGTCCAGCTGGGCATTACATCTTGTTAGACACTTGCTGTATTTTGTCTGAGGCGGGTAGTGGTTTAAAGCCTGTCAAGGTTTAGAGTTCAGTTGTCCCAGAGGGACGTAAGTGATGTAATATATCACTTCTCCTGTCCTTTGACTTACATTTGTGTTATCTGCCTGACCACAGGATCTCTACACTGAGAGAGATAAGCTTTGCAAACAAGTTCTGGTTCAGTGCCACACTCGTGTGGTTTCTGGCTGTTCTGCACCTGGAATTGGCCCTTTGCTTTGACACTTTCACACATGCAATGATCCTTTGGCAGTTCTGACCCCGTCCAGGCCTGCAGCACTGACCCAACTTGCAATGTTCCTGTTGCTAAACCTTATTATTGCAGAGCAGGGTGAGGAATAACCCACTACCTGCCCATCAGGGAGTGTTTGGATCGCTTTTCCCTTGGCTGGAGCTGTAACTCATAGCTTGCCTGTCGTGTCATCTCTTCACACTCTTGATATGAAAAATTAAAAGCTATTGTGCACCAAAAGCATCCCCAGAGTTGTGTCCCAGCTGCTTGCTTTGTGCTCAGGGTTTGCAGTGAAGTGCATGATTTTGACAGCAAAGGCCAGTGCTAACACACAGGGCAGCAATCCTGCCTTGGGTGGGTCTTTTTCTCCCGTGCCAGTGGTAGGCTGAGCTGGCAACATGGAATTAAATGGAGGCCTCTGAGTCTGCTTATGAATATGCAGTCAGGACATTCCACATCTCTGTCCTGAAAATGAAAATGTCTGATTTCTATCAGGCTGTAAAAATGAGGTGTGGCTCTAAAGTGTTTTCTCAGTGAGTCTGAATTCAGAAATGAGGGTACAGCTCCATTGGAAAGTGAGTTTGGAAGGTAAAATTCTCCTCAATATGTGCTTCATAGTCCCTTATTTGCTGTGTGCTGCCTGGTTTGGTTTTAAATCCATATTATTCTGTATCCATGTTTCACACAGATCATGCTCAGAGTCCCTCACTTTGCTCAGTGTGCTTTATCTAACACACTAAAAAACCAGCCCAAGGAGCTGATGGTGTCACGCAGGAGACAGCTGGCAAGGATGTCAGCCTGGCACCAGGAACGTGGGATCAGCAGGGTCCTGGCATGTGTCACTGAGGTGTTACCTAGGGAAGTGTGTCACACCTACACCTACACTCCAGTGCCATGTGCATTGTGGCAGAGCGGCTCTCGGGTTTACAGTGAATCGGGTTTTTAAGAGGGAAACAGTTCTGCCCCAGAAGAGGAGGAGTGCTGGATGTCTGATCTCTTCCTTGAGACAGAAGGTTGAGAGTTCTGGCTTAGCTGTGTTGAGCTTAAGTTGAGGGTTGAAGTTCTGCAAGACAACAGCACAGACCTGAGTTAGCTATTAATTTAAAGGAAAAACTGCACAAAAGCAGATCTGTGAGTCATCAGTGCTGGTTGGAGGAAGCTGTGTGTTTGAGTGAGATCCCTCGGAGGGGAGGGAGAGGGAGAAAAGGGGGGTCAGAGCTGGGTGGGACCTGCTGTGCAGGAGGGCTGAGGGCACACGGGCTGGGTGGGGTGATGTGCACGTTGGAGCTCAGTCCTGCTGGTGTGCAGGTTTCGCAGTAATCACAGTGCTCTTCCCACAGCCGCCTCGGTTTCCTTCCCTCTGACAGCCGGCTCTGTGTTTTGGAAGCACTGGGAGCCTGGTGGGAGAACGGGAGGGACTGGAGGGAGCCTCTCCACAAAAGCTGTTTCTCAGAGCAGTGTGATGTGTGTGCACCAGGCTGTGAGCACAGGTGTCTGCTCTGAATAGGGAAAATTCCCTCACAAACAAGCAGAAGAGGAATGTGACCCAAATATCTCCTCTGTCCTGGATGCACTGGGAGGAGCTTTGGCAGTGCAGTGCTGAGGTTTGTGAAGGAAAATGCAGGACAGTTTCTGGTGGCAGCTCTCCACCTGGAACCCTCAGACCAGACCTGAGCTGTGCTGTGCTGTGTGCAGCCCGAGGCTTCCCTCAGGAAGGGACCCTGTTTCAGTGCCACTTCTCACAGGGGAAGCCCAGAGCCTTTTGAACAAGTGGGTGGGTGACATGGTGACACTGCAGGTGAGATGTTCACCAAGCAGTGCAGGTTAGCAGGGAGCAGTGCACTTGCAACTCAAGGGGACCCTTTCTTCCTTTATTTTCTGAAGTGGCTCTGCTTGTGACCCTTGCAGGAACACTCCCATCAGGGCTGTGATGAGGGGGTGTTCTTGTAGCCTATTCCTGTAGCCTATTCCCTTGGCTGGTGTTTGCCTGTGACATGCCAGGTGGTCTCGCGTTGGGAACACCAACATGCATCAGAGGCTGCAGTTGTGGATTTCTCGGAGCAGTGTTTCTCCCTGCTGGGACACAGGCTTGGGAGCAAGTGGGGCAGAAGCTGATGTGAGGAGGATGCTCTCAGTGCTTCTGGTTGTTTATTTGTTCCAACAGTTAGACCTATTTTAAGAGCAGATAATGCACTGTACCAGCTAATCCTGCCATCCCTGAGTGCCTGCCACTCTCTGCTTACTTATCCCCCTCCAGAGAGCAGCATGATATGCTCCTGAAGGATGCTTGGCTTCATCCTCTCGGCAGCTCCCTGAGCCAGCAGCCTGCAGGGAGGGAGCCCTGAGGTGTGCTGCAGCATAGGCTGGCAGGGCCAGGCCCTGTCTTACCTGTAACCTCGATCTGTGCTCAGCTCTCACTCGCTGACACATTTGGCAGCTCTCGTGGTGAAGCTGAGAGCTGAGCCTGGCCCTGCTACGTGCTCAGAGCTGCCTCTCTCAGCGTGGGACTTGGCACAGAGGGAAGCACATGGGACTGTCATGTCCTTTCCCTGGGAAGGCTGCTGTGTGCCAGGGCTGGGAATGTGCTGGAAGCAGGTGACTCATGCCCGGGGGCCTGTGGGCACCTGGTGGAATGCAATAAATAACAGTGTGGGTCAGTGATTCAACATGAGCTCGGGTTCCCCACCCAGACAACACAGTGCCTGCCCCTCTCTACCCTCCTTCCCCAGGAAGCCCTGGCTGCCTTTGATGCCTCCTTTGAGGCTGCTCTCACACAGCCTGTAAATCCTGATGCTCCTTCAGCTTTAAGACCCAGAGACTAAACCTGCTCTGACTGTGGCTTGGCCAAATTCTGTGCCGATAGTCACTGCAAAGCTCTTGGGTTGTGTTTTGTGTCATGGTGAAGGCTCTGCAGGGCTGGTCTATGCAGTGCTCTGCACTGTGTCTGCCTAAGGCAGGGGGTAAGAGGTGAATGAAGAGGCAAAGATAACTCTTGCTGTAACATGCTGGTGGCAAAGCTGTGTCCTCTCTCTGCTCTAACCTGGGCAGGTCAGGAGAAAGTCTGTCCCTCCCCTGATGATCCTGTCTGTGACTGAAGGCTGGAAGTAAATAAAAACAGAAAGGGCTTTCCATGGAAGTATGTGGGAGGGAAAGGCTGTTTGTACAACCTGGAGCTAAAGGAGCAAGAATTGACTTAACTTGGAGGTGAGGTGTCTGTAAATTCACTAAACCCGAGATTCTGTTCTGGGTTCTAGTTGGAGCAGTTCCCATATGTGGCAAAAGGAAAGGG